TACCAAAAGACATGCCCTATATGTAGTCCCCTGTCAAAATGTGAGAAATCAGGTCAAGCTTCAAGTCTTTGCTATGTTCAGCACATTCTCTAAACGATACTGCTTGAGTTTTCCTGAGCAGTCTGGCTATCAGGCACTGTATGCTGCACATTAAACAAATCTAATCTTATTTCATTATTCCATGCTGGTTCCACTACTTACATTTCTAACCAAAACATCAGTTTAAATGTTACTGATAAGACTAAGCAGACATGGTACTAATAACCTATCTGTCAATCATTTAAAATTACTCTCAGCAGAATTATAAGCATACCCTCTAAAAATCACAATTTGCATTCTGAACATTTGGAGTGCAGATACCTGCTGCCCTCAGTCCAATGATCTGAATGTACATTATCCCCCCTTCTTCCCTGAATAATTATCAAGTAGTGTAAAGAGCATCAGGAATAGCATTTACTTTTCAGCTGCCTATCCAAACATAATCAGCCAGTTATCAGTTTAATGACAACCACAATGAACAGCACCTTCAGTCAATACAAATGCACTCCTACCTATTCCAGCTGCTTTCAGTGTACTGTCTTCTTTCAAAATCAGTTTGTCATCATCTTCCAAACTCACTACAAGTTCACCAGTCTACAAATCAGAGAACCAGAATACAAAGATAAGAATTTGCTGACTGTCTCTGCCCAGTCTTGTTTGACAGTGCAGAGATCTGCCTGCATTAAAGCATGTAAAAGGGGAAGAACACAGCTAATAATCATACCTTAGACTTGTGTGCTTGGTGAATAATCTTCATTGTATCTGAAAGAAAATACATTTTCCTAAAATAAGGCTTAATAGGCAGGAAATACTGAAAGTTGTACTTGGGGAAAAGAGACAAAAACGGATAAGGTTTGAAATCTTTTATTACTAACAGTTTTCTGTATTAAACCTAAAAGAAAACATCTTAATTTCCCAGTGCTGCAGCCAGAGTTTTAAACCAGTCAATCCAACATTATAGTACCACATTCTATGGGGCTTCTGGGTGAATTACAACTAACTAATGACCATCCCACTTGCCAGTCAAAACACACCAATTTAAATGCCACTTAGGGTGTTTTAACCTAACAGGTTTTACACATGCAACTGGGGCAGGACAAACAAAATTTATGCACTGTGAACTACTATAGTTAATTTGATAAGCAGCAAGTGATTAAGAAGCAGTAATCTTCCCACTTCAGACCTTTCCTTGAAATTTTCCTCCTCATGAAGAAAGCACCCATGGTAGAAATTTCGTTAAGCAAGTCCATTTTCCATGACCATGCACAGCCTCTCCTCTTCTTAATGCTATACCCTCTTTAATATTTACCTCTGATATGTTTGTGCAGTTTGGCACTTTAAGAAATTATGCTATAAAAAAAAGAAATATTGCTTTCTTCTGGCAGTGTGGGCAGGGCTTTGTTAACAGAAGGGAAAAACAGAGGAAAATAATGTGGTCACTAAAGCAACCAGCTGAGTGCAAAAATCATAGAATCATAGAATAGTTAGGGTTGGAAAGGACCTTAAGATCATCAAGTTCCAACTGCCCTGCCATAGGCAGGGACACCTCGCTCTAAACCATATCACCCAAGGCCTCATCCAACCTGGCCTTGAACACTGCCAGGGATGGAGCATTCACAACCTCCTTGGGCAACCTATTCTAGTGCCTCACCACCCTCACAGGAAAGAATTTCCTCCTTATATCCAATCTAAACTTCCCCTGTTTAAGTTTTAACCCATTACCCCTTGTCCTATCACTACAGTCCCTAATGAAGAGTGCCTCCCCAGCATCCCTATATGCCCCCTTCAGATACTGGAAGGCTGCTATGAGGTCTCCACACAGCCTTCTCTTCTCCAGGCTGAACAGTCCAAACTTCCTCAGCCTGTCTTCATACGGGAGGTGCTCTAGTCCCCTGATCATTCTCGTGGCCCTCCCCTGGACTTTTTCCAACAGATCCATGTCCTTTTTATGTTGAGGACACCAGAACTGTACGCAATACTCCAAGTGAGGTCAAATCCAGAGGAAATGGAAGCCAAAAGATGCCCATGTAGTGCTAAACAAAAAAACCCAAGCAAACAAAAACAACTCCAAACAGACAGATTCCAAAGCATCCGTTTGAACAAATTCAGAGTAACACATCAACCCCTTCCCAGCAATGATGCAAAAATCTGTTCTGCTTTCCTGCACATTTTCCGTTCTAGTTTGTTAGCTCTGTTTCTAGTTTCTGTTCATTAACTGAACACTATGTGTTGAAATACTCTGGTAAGAAAAGGATTTAAGAAAGTTAAATATAGTTTGAAATTTGTTTTAGCCTATCAAGAGCTAGAGTTCAGAACAACAGAGATCACGTTCCCAATTCAGAAGTTTGCTTCCATACCACTCAGGCCCATTTTTAGTATTCTACTTAAAACATTAGACAAGGTAAAGATGACTCTCTATTCCCACTGCAGAGGTCACTGAGAAGGCAGGCTTAGCATAGAATAATTAGGGTTGGAAAGGACCTTAAGATCAAGTTCCAATACCCCCGCCATGGGCAGGGACACCTCACACTAAACCATGTCACCCAAGATGTTGTCTAGCCTGGTATAATAATTGCAGTATTAGAAGCAAGACATATATCAAATAGCAGTTACCAGGATCCATGTTGCATTGGAGCACTGCAGAAAGACCAAGCAATCACGGAAACAAAATACTGCAATCATGAAACCTTTCTACCACAGCAAATACTATCCAGCCTTTGCCTGTTAGTTTTAAGCTTCTTCACTTACTTTGTCACATTCCCTTTTCTCTAATCTTTGCCCAGTCATTCTCTGAACTATTTTCTCAATTTTACTTGTTCACAAATGCAGTTTACCATGTCTTCATCTGAGCTACTAAATGGCTTTTGTAACTCTGTTACAGAGACGAAGCTGCAGTCTCTTCTCATCCTAGCTAAAGCCATGTCCTCTAACAGCCTTTGCTATTTCATCCCCATTTAGTTCCATTCAGTCATATTCCCAAATTTTTATCATTCCTTTTCTCGTAATAGATCTTCCATGACAACTGATTAAGAAATAGCTTTCTAAACCTGATTCTGTGAACTATCTATCATATTGATCCACATTCACAGAAGGAAAAAAAATAAAAATTGAGAAGCAGACTATAAGACAAGTTGGCACCCAGGCTGCCACCATCAGTAAAAAGATGCCAATGACAGGGTAGGAAGATGAGAAGATTGACTGAGAAGAGTCTGACCAAGGACAAGAACAATGTGTGTAAAGAAATTAAGAGAAATGCAAGTTGTAAGCTTTGAGATGCGAGTTAGAGCACCAAATGAAGACGAAAAATGCAATGGTATTACACGTGATGCTGAGATAACAAAATGGTGCTGAATTCTGGAGAGAAGGAAGCTGAAACAGATAAAGTGAGACATAGCCAAGAAAAATCTGACTCTCGCTAGCACAATTCATGCAGAAGTCTCACTGCCCTTTCATCACCAAAACACAAGATGGACAGTAGACAACAAAAGAGATGGCAAAGACATGAACCTAGATGATGCACAGACTGAAGGGAAGGTGAGGAATTTGGCTGTGATTTTTCCTGTGTGTAAATCTCCACACACCTAGCACTGCCGCAGTAAAAGTAGGCCTGCACTAACTGGTGTAACAGGTTTTACAGTTCTGCAGTGTTTTTCACACACATTAGTCCTACACATGCAATCAGGTGCTAAGCCACAACATATGCTTTGGGAAAAACTAAACAGATGCTCTAAGTGATGAAAGAACTAGCAGCAGGGTGAGGCGACACCAGGAATACAATTGGTAGCTGCAGTTCTAGATAGGGCGCCTTCATTTAGCCAAAGCCACAGATACTAGAGGGAGGAAGCACACCTCCAAGTTCAAACTTACAGTTACCTAGATTTATATTTTAAGAACTTAATATATTAAAAATAATAGTAATGTTCAAATCCTTGCCACTGATATATTATGAATCTAACTCTTTATCTGCCTTCATTTTGCACTGTTTCATCATCAGCAAGAACACAGAATGAAATGCTTGGCTTTTCTTGATTTTGCCTTTTTTTTTTTTCAAGCCAAATAGAGTCTATTACCATTCACATGTATTAAGTAAGTTCCTCATTCAATTCTTTGAATCACTGTAGAGGAATGAGTTTGTCAACTCCAAGAACATGGAAGACAGAGGATCACTTGCAGCAAAACTCCAAGGGAACTTTTACAATTGCCAAGTTTAGGAAAAGATAAGTTACTGACATCAAATTAACAGACTCCCAGAAAGGAAGTAATTTAATCTATTTTGAAAGTATATTCTGTCCCAAACATATGAATTGCTTATGTTCATGCCAATCTTCACTGACAGCAAATATACACACAGCTTTACATTAGAGGATATCAGCCTAAATTTCACACCAAGCTATTTCATTCCATCGGCTTGTATTTAAAAAGCTTTCATATCTACCCTGAGCACAGTTCCCCTGCTTCTCCTAAATTGTGTAAACTATTTAAGTATACAAGTCCTAAGCATTTTCTATTTACTGCCTTCAGTTCCTGCTTCACTATCCTTTCTGACTTCACAATTAGTAAATAGAGACTGAAATATGTAAGTACATGAAGAACTACAATTTCAAAGCATCCGAGATCACAAGTTGCTTGCTAGAGTAAAAATAGAGTTTAAAGGCACTTATACATGTAATTTAAAAGTAATACCAATACCCATTGGTATCAATTAGCAAATAATATATAACATGTAGCCTAATTAAAAGATTAATACAGAACTTCAAAATAATGGTGAAGTTTTGTAGACATGATCCCAGTGGCATAATCCCAGCTACAAGAGCTGGACAGAGTTGCAGTTGTAGGCAGGCGCTACCATTGACATGAGTATTCTACAGCAGTTATCTTTTAAATTCTATAAAAACTGGTATAAAATGTTACATCTGCATTTTACAGAAATTAAAACAAAGAGGAAAAGAAACAACACCTACCATACTTGTAATTTTTAAAAGGAGGAGGAAGACCTGTTCTTGAAGACACATCTGTTAAAATAAAAGCACAAAGTTAATACAAAGTTGTCTTTTTTATTTCCAACATTTTATTTTCCATTTTTGTGCAATGTATGCATCCTGGACATCTTTTACATCAAAATAAATCTGCAATACATAAGACTTGTTTGAGAATTGAATACTAAACCACAACTTTTGGCTCAGATTGTATAGTAACTCCGTATCTGATTAACTTCACTTAAGCACAAAGTCCCTCTAAACAGAACAGCCCATGAGGACAGTGAGTCGATGCAATTAGGACATCATCACAGGAGTCTGATCCTTCAGAAATCTGCCAGGAACATCCTGTTAATGGTTTGCACAGCATCTCTCTCTACCTTATACAAACACCTGACAACTGTCATTCATAACTGAATTGTTCAGTAATCACAGCCATTTGAAACAGCTACGAAAAGCAAGCCAAACTGTAGAAAATTAACTCTCTAGCCACATGCAGGACACAGCCCATAAGCAACTGTGAAAACACCAACTTCTTTCCCAGTGCCAGGGTTCCCAGTGACACCCAGGGATTTAACCAGGGCCTTGGAAGGTCTAGCCAGCCATGAGGTGCTTGTCAACAAGGTGGCTGAAACTGTAATTACACCCGTAGTTTAACAATTTATCTCAAACTCTCCCTTCAAAACATATTATAGTAAGGAAAGAACATATCTTTTGGACCAGGAACAGCATTATCCACCTGTGGAATGAGGTTCCAAAAGTCTTGTTCAAGACACTAGCTTTGTTGCAAATAACAACGAATTGCAGTTCTGCACACATCAAAAGCAAGTTTCTTAGCATTGTTTTTTATTTTCTTCTTCATAACAACAGCTGTACAATATGTTTTGGAAATGCTTGTAGTTTTCTAAAAGCATCCTAGGATCTTGGCATGCCTATCCCTGTCTAGAAGTACGGAAGCGGCTAAACACACAGTACAGCCATGGGGCCCAAGACAATGTCCTAGGAGTTGCTCAGAAGTTATCAGCTATAATAATTCAAGACTTGTTTAATCTGACTTCATGCAAAAAAAATCAAATTATGTTATTTTGCACCTTTTGAATGTCTCCATTTAGGTGCATAGGAATACACCTGCAAGACTAGGGCAACACCCTACCTAATGAGTCACTACATAGGACGGCCTACATTAATCTTTAGATAGACTCTCACATTCAACAAGGCTTCTAAAACATAAAGCCCACAGATGAGTAAATCTGCACCACAAAGCCCAAGACAGAAACAGAAATTTAGAGGCAAACATGCACAGTGAGACTTCACAGTGTCAAAAACAATTTTTCAAGATCCTCTCTTCTCACAAATAGCAAACAGATTTGTATTCCTACATTCCACATATTGGTGTACTTCCTGTGGTTCAAAGACTCTCTAAATTCTATTAATTTACTCCTGTTACTTTATGAATAGCTGCTTGACAGCACTACTCAAGAAGCCTTAGGCACTGAGCCAAATGCAGCAATGCCCTCCTCTCTTTTTGACTAAGCATTGGGATTTGGGCAGGAAGAGCAGTCTATCTGAATTTAGGCATGGCGCACTGATAATGGAAGCTGTTATTAACTCCAGACTTCTCATCCAAGGGCAGAGAGCACACAAATCTGGCATCTCTACCAATGCTGCAGAATTCCCATTCATTTGCTCCCCTCCAATTTCTTGTGCAAAGACAATACATGGGACTGAAATGAACTGCCTTGGGACTGGACTGCCCCTTACCATTCCGCACAAAAGTAATGAACTGCTTTACTGTCTGATCCAAGTTGACTCCATGATACACCACAGGTCTGAAATTCCGGTGTTCAAAAGAACGAACAAGACGAACTGTGATGGTTGAGCTTTCTGATGACATGAGAATTAATTCTGAATAACCTGGAAAATATTAAAGAGAGGGATTATTGCCCTTCCTCTATGTATAAGCACAGCTAGAAAACAAGGTGCAGGCGGGCCTCATGCAAAGATTAAAACATGGCAAGAAATTCAATAGCTTAATGCCTTTCAGGACATCACTTGTATTATTTCTACAGGAGCAGTAACAGGCTCTCAAAACAAACAGGGTTACCTAGGATATTATTGATACTTCATATCAAATAGTCCTGTATTTGTACCTGTGCTGTGTAATATGGCACCAGACTTCCAATTAAACACACAAAAACCTTACAGTTAAATGCAAATATGTAGTTTGGTGTTTAAGTGACTGAAGACTCTGCTGGGAAACTTTGTGCTATAGAAGAATGTACTAACATGAACAGAACCAAAACCTTTTTAATATGCTTACTTTGTAAAGTACATAATACCCTGAAAAATGCCTAAGCTCTTACACAATGCTCATTTTAATTTCCCTACAGGAAGTGGAAAAGCCTGCCCCATGTACACATGCAACTAACTCTCATATACTACTACACAATTAAGGGATTTCATTTAATTTATAATAGTAGTTCTCTAGAATGGCTCTACAGGGCTTATACTACTTCAACAGAGAGCAAATCTGTAACACAATCCCCTTATCAACCCAAACCCCTCTTCAAACAAGCCAGTGTGTGGCTCCGTTGAGCTCTCTCTCTCTCTACAGGAAAACAAGCTGTTTCTCATCTCTACAATCTTTTCTATTTTTGGTGCTTGGTATCCCTTAACGTCACTTTCTGGTCACAAGCTAAACTGCTGGGGCTGCTGCAGCAACCAGCAAGGACTGCAGACTTAAGTGCTGCAAAATCAGCCAGGGGTACAGCACAACCTCTGCATCTCTTATCCCTTAGCAGCCACTTCAGTCACCATTTCCAGTCCTGCAAGGGATTCTCTTACCTATCGATCCCTCTATGTTCTTTTTGTGTGTGCCTTTCCCTTCCCTCCCCACCCCACCCTTGTTGCCACGAGGGGAGATTAAGCTCCCCACCATCATACAGATACCCAAGTAACTTCCAGTCTCTGCTGTATTTATCCTAGCTGTATCCTGACAAAGCAAACTGACAATACTTTCTTTAAATATTCTGCAGTGTGGGATCACAGACCTAACCACATCACAAGGCAACTTGCTTTTACATCCCCTTGGATAATAATTCCCCAAAGTCCAACTCCATTTTCATTGTAAATAAACTGTGATAAAGACACCAATAAAGAGAAGTATGGTTTGCATCTGAAAATAACTAGATTAATATCAAACACCAAAGATGGTTATTTTCTTGATGCTATTCTACAAGGGCGTGAGATGTATCAGCGTAAAGGGGACAGCAGTCAGTTCACTTTCTCCTGAACAGCATTCAAGATCGTTGCAGGAATACAGGTTTAGGAGCACAGACAACTGGAAATCGCCGATTTTCGCATTTACTGTGTAGACCCCACAGATAGATCCGATTTAGGGCTGCGACGAGGCACTACCCTGCGCCTCCTCAGGGCAGACCCTCCTTGGGACACCGACGGCAGGTACCTCTTGTGAAGAGACACCTTCTCCGGCCTGCCCAGCTCCTGCCCGCCGTTAGCGGCACCAGGACCGCGGTGGAGAGCCGCCCACACTAGCACATCTACTCAAGGCCAAGCACCGGGCCCCTCGCCCTCACAGCAACCTATCCCACCCCAAACGCCCGTCAGCGTCCCGCAGCCTTACTACCGACTTCCCGCCAGCACTTCCGGGTCTCTTTCCTCACCCCGCTTCATCCAGCCCCACCAATCACATCTTTACACCGCCACCCACCGCGCAGCGGGATTGGCTGCTAAGCACCCTGTCCCCGCCGCCTCCCGTGCCGCAGAACCGCAGCAGATCCCACCCCTTCAGCAGCACGCCTGCTCACTACCCATGCCGCGCCGCCTCTGCATCGGCCCTTTGCCTGCCTTCTCCCCGCCCCCGCCGAGCGCCGATTGGCTCCGTGCCTCCCTTTGGCGCTAGGATTGGCCAGCGGGTGCTCTGGCGATGGGTGAGGCGGCCGAGCGCGGAGGTGGAGTGCCTAGGGGACGGGGGGTCGGGAGCGTGCTGGACTTGTCGCTATGTCTGAGGTACGGTGCTGGGTCGGTGGGGAATGAGGGGCGGTGGTGGGTGTCTCCTTTTCCCTTAAGTGTGGTGACAGCTGCAGCCTGCGGGTGCTCACCCCAGCCTCGCCCTGGGGCCTTTTCCTTCTCCAGGCTGCGTTTCAGAAGGCTGCCGAGGAGGTGAAGCAGCTCAAGTCCCAGCCCACGGACCAGGAGATGCTCGACGTCTACGGCCTCTATAAACAGGCTACGGTGGGCGACGTGAACACGGGTAGGTACCGGTTCGGTCCCCTACCGGGCAGGGGGGTGGTGGCGGTTGCTGGGTAGCGCTGCCCCGCGACCCTCTTGCGCTCTGCGCCTGTGCTTGGGGCCCCGGCTGGAGGGGGAGAGGCGGCTGCCGTCAGGGCCGAGCTGGAGGCACTTTGGGGACAAAACCTCTCCCCTCTTGAGTGCCTCACTTCCTGCAGTCCCACGGGTTAGCCAAAATGACTCCGTACCGACTTGGCATAGATTTATATGCGGGCAGGCATAAGCTGACCCGATAAGGGTTTGTGCAACTTGTGGATTTTAGATTAACCTAGCTGCGGTCTTCTAAATCGTACAGCAACAGTCTGAGAATCGTTTCAGTTACTAGTTTTTTATTAATATTAGGTTTGGGACCTCAGGAGTCCTCTATCATTAAGTAGCTGCCTAGGTTAAGGAATGCTGCCTAAATACAAACTCTTAGAAGTTAAACAGGCCTAAACACCAAAGCAAACTATGTAAGTGCAGAACTGCAGTATGGGTTGGAGGGGGGCAGTTTGTTTAGACTAGATTGGCTGCTAAAAATAGTATTGGAAAGCCAAAACAGAAGAACCAGAGAAAGATTTTATAGTAGCTGCAATTAAATATTATCTCTTGGAAAAACTGCAGCAGAAATATCGCTGCAGGTGCCTGTACAAAATCTCTCCCGCTACTACTGTTACTACACTTCTGCCAGTGGCAGCTCAGCCTAGGAATAGTATTTAGAATAAAGTCTGTCTCCATTGACCTTGTGTAACGCTTGAGTGACCAGAATTAGAAAGGGGAAAAGGTCATTTGTTTGGAGTGCTGGCCTCCTGACCCAATTGCTGGTGAAATTTATTGTGTGCTGCTTGGATTAAAAGCTGGCATTGAAGTGTATGGGACCTTGGTCTTAAGATATGATCCTTTTTGTGTGGTTGGACCTTGGCATTATTAATGTTTTTCAAGGTGAAACGGTGCTCTGGAGCTGTCAATATACCAACGTTTCTGTAATTTGCTGCATTCTTGTGAAGCAGTGGCTAACATGAATTGCTGGAAAATCAGTCTATGTAAGAGTAAGCTAATAGGGTTCTGGTTGCAGAGAAGCAAAGCTGCCAACTAGCTCTGCAGGTCATATTGCCAAGGGTATTTTTGTGGCTAATGTCCAGTTCCATTTATTAAGCTTAAGAATTTTCTTTAAGGAATCAGTCAAGAAGGGAAAACCAGGAGAGGATTTCACACGAAGGTAGCTAAAGTTCAAAGCTGGCACCCCTAAATGACAGAACAAAGTAAGACTTATATGTAAGACTTATATGTTAGAAACATACCATTAACTGGATGATAATGGGTTCTAAGCTGTATGCTACTAGCTTTTGTTTTCATGTCTCTGTGTAAGAGACCTTAGGGCATTTCTGCTGTACTGTGGAGCTGATGTTCTTTAATTGGACAGCTGTCACACAATAGCAGTCTCTTCAGAAAGTAGAATAAAAGGAAATCACACCACTGCTGCTGTCTTAAGGTAACTGGAGAATATCTCAGCTGCCACCAGCAGTGTTACAACAGGCTCCCTTGAGGTGATCTCCTGACCACAGGTTAGTAAGTAATAGCTGCAAAGACCAATTGTTGTATTTTATCTTAGTTAAGAATTAAATAGCCTTCAGGAAAGGAGTGGGTACTGCACTACAGTAGTAGTGTAGTACCTACTCTTGTACCTACACCCAGACCACACAAACTAATTTTTATCTATTGCTTATCTTCTCTCTTTCAGACCGCCCTGGCATGCTGGACTTCAAAGGCAAAGCAAAGTGGGATGCCTGGAATGCATTGAAAGGTAGGTGTCTGCTTAAAAAATGAAAAATAAGGCAAACTAATCAGAAAAGGTATATGTGGTTCAGCAAGAAAAAAAATAGCATTGCCTTATAAGACAAGAGTTCTGGAAGTTCAGAATGCTGTGGTAATAAACTCTTTTGACTACCTCTACGAGGCAGGAGTAATCCTGAGAAATGTAGCCTATGTGAAAGGGAATTAAGGTGCAAAATGCTCACCTGGCCCAAGATGTTACACGAAGGAGAGCTGCCACAGCAGCAGAAACCCAAATCTGTTTTCTAAGTCCCAGCCTAGTACCCCAGAGACCAAGCTATCCACCCAGTTGTTTCTTTTAAAGCTTTCCTAACAAGAAAGGTTTGCAACCTCCTAACAGGAGGTTGCAGCTGTGCTCTCCTGTAAATGAGGAGCCAGACAAGTGGTCTTATCTATGAAAATGGGATTTTTCTGGTGTTTTAAGGACTACATCTAAATGCAGCCGAAGCTGTGACTGAATAGCTGTCCTGTAATAATTTTGAATGGAGTTAATAAAACTAAACACTGTTACTGTCTGTACAAATATAACTTTGCTTTGAAACACTGTTTGTTCATGACTGCTGAATACATTTGTTTAAAACTCTAATACTAGATTTGCAGTGAAGTGACCTTCTTGGCTCCTTTGCACTCTGGTATCATGTGGTTACATGCTATAGCAGGGAACTGTGACTTGCATGTAAAGGTATCTGACTGCTCCTGTCTTTTGTCCTTCAGGAATGTCCAAAGAAGATGCAATGAAAGCTTACATAGCAAAAGTGGAAGAGCTAAAGGGCAAATATGGCATCTGAGGACTGGATATAGCAGCAACTTGCACACCTGAAACATGCCTTATTTCTAATACTGTGGAAAAATGTTTTCTGAGAATGACAAATAATTTTAAATACCTAGTATATTGTAGTCGGTTACACTCATGCCTGTAGTTCAGGGGAAGTTGTGTACCCACCTAATGTACTGACACGGTATAAATTCCTTCCGGGAACAAAATCTGGAACTCATTAAAGTGCATTTGGTACTTCAGCCTTTGTGATGGTCATCCCTCGATTGCCATGTTGCAGCTGCCGAAGGCCCTTTGCAAGGCGCAAGGCAGCCTCTCTAGTCGTTGTGCCACTAGAGGGGGCTCAGTGATCTGTTTCGTATAACGCACAGCATCCAAACCAATCTGGTGATGCTTGATCCTGCTTTGGCTCGTTTCTCGCGTGGATAAATGGTGACTCACAAAACCTGGAGCACCACGAAGATTATCGTGAAAAGGCTAGGTCTAGTGCTGTGTGTACTGAAACAAGGTGTTTGATATCAGTTGCCTGGGACTTTCGGAGATTTCCTCAACAGTTGCCAAATAATCTTTCATAAACGCTTCTTAGAAGTATTATTTCCCAACAAGGTTAGGCTTCTGCAGAGAAGGCAAACACTTTGCAGAGGAACACAAAACCTTTGTAAAAGAAAAGGCTCTGTAGACAGCAGTGTCGATGCCCTTGATACTTTGCTGCTGTAGATAGAGTACTGGTGTTGCCATATACTGAGGCTACAGTGAGGAGCTCATCAGCTGTATATAGGCTAGCTTAACACTAGCAAGGCTGTTCAAACAGGAAGTCTTACAGTTGCCATCAGCAAGTTTTACTACAAAGCCTGCAGCTGCAACCACCTCTAGTAGGTGTTTACCTGTTTTGGTCTTTCTTATATAGTCTCTTGGAGCTGCTGATGCAGAAAAGGGAGACTTCACTTTTAAAATGTGATGTTGAACTATTCCAGAATAGAGCATATGAACATCAAGTCCCAGATTTTCACAGGAATAAGGTGTTCTAATTCCAGCTGTGCTGGTTAACCTCTGAACAAGTGAGGGCTTCAAATGAAATGGTCTTCAGATAAGCACTTGATTTATAGAAATACATAGGGATGAAACCTGTTGTTACATAACTGTTTAGGTAAATACATAGTTCTGTACTAGGTTACACAGGATTTGCTGTGTGTAGTAATTAACTTGTATTTTCTTATGCCACTGGTAAGAAATGGAGAGAACTTCATCTCACGTGCTTTCAAAAATTATAAATCCCTCCCTTTGCTACTTTTAATGGGAAATGCTCTTGGAGCTACTTGCTCATCCTTAAAAATTTGTTACAATAAAGAAGGGTTTGTTCCCTGTTCTTGGAAGGAGAAAGTTGGTTTATTCTTGTTCTTCTGGGTAAGTAATGTAACTATTTGGGGTTTTTTCCCCCCTCCTTTTTTTATATCTGCTAGTTATTTGAGATTGTGTTGATTACATTCACCTTGCAAAAAGGGGTAAAAGCAGATGTTCAGTGTGAGAGATCATTTTAGCTCTTTGCTAGCCCGAAATTCCACAGCCAACTCCTTTTTCATAGCTGTGTTTTGTGAAGCTGTTTATCCTTACAGGATTCTGCCAGCCTGTAGCAGACTGTAGCTTATACTGGCAAATGCTCCCCCTTCTCTTGTTTGCTGGAAACTGATGCAGTGTGAGCATGCTGTGCTTTGCTAAGATGCTTTCTGTCAAAACTGGTGTTTTCAGGATTTTTGATTGCTAAAACAGTGGAATTGGGTTCTGTTTAAAGGATGGTCTGGGAGTAGCAAGTTTTGTATCCTAGTCCTCATT